CTGCATTACGGGTTGGAAGGCACGCAGTAAAGATGGTAGGGCACTGAGTTGCTGCATGCAGAGGCCATGATGCCTGTAGTCCCAAGCCTGCCCACCAGTGATGTGTCCACCCTGGCTTTAGGGTGCCTCATTGTCTCCCTTAAAAAAATAAAATAAATTAAATAAATAAAAGGTGATTGAAAATTAAAAGAATCTGAAAATGAAAACAACAAATACATTTCTTGACTATTCAGAGACAACTGGAAATTGGAAGTCTATAAAAACCATCCACTTTGCGATTTTTAAGATCAGGGTTTAGTTGGGTGAGAGCTCCCTGATGCTAATGGGAAGGGGGAAAATGTGCCAAAGACAAAGAAAAATTAAATGGATATTTATTAGGAAAAGGAACCAAAGATATGGTGAAGCAAACATGAATGAAGATTGCCAGGACTAACATCACACACAAGTTATCACAGTCCCTAAAGCACCGTGCTTTTCAAATGACAGGTCTCATGATGGAGAGCTTGAACTACATAACAAAAGGGACATCATTTATAGAATAGATGCCACATGTTAGTACAAACAACCCAACACCTATAAGAGCAGGCTGAAAGGAAAAGACTAGACCAAAACAATCATGGAATTCTTGCATACCAAAAACAACATCAGAGTTTACTGAAATCCCAAATAAAGTTACTTAGATAATTAATTACTACACACTGATTTAAGTACAAACATGGTATTAGTCATAATCAGCAGCTTCATGCATAAAACAAATTAATTACTTATTCAAGAAGATTAAAGACATCAAAAGGCAAGGTAAGAACACATTTAAGTACTTGAACATCTACAAAAAATTGCACTAGATCTTCCCAAAAGCAAAAGAGGATAGAAAACATATTACTCATTAAAAGGTCTCAACTTTGGAAATTTGAGAGCTGATACCTAAAGATAAGAGAAATTCAACAATGTGGCTACCTGAAGAAAAAAAATGTGTAAACACAGATTAATGGAAATGCTACCTAATGAAACATTCCACCAGATTATTGGAAAAACCATGAAAATGGTTTTCAGATGGACAATAAACCTGGTGCCATCGAGTCGAATTCAACTCATAGTGTGACCCTACAGGACAGAGCAGAACTACCCCCACTGAGTTTCCAAAGCTGCCTTATCTTTCCCCTTGGATCTATTGGTGGCTTCCAACTACCAACCTCCAGTTAGCAGTGAAGTGCTTAACACTGCACCACCAGGGCTCCTTCAACTGGCCAATACTGGACCTTAACTGCCCTCACACTTCCCAGCTATAGGTGGAAGAGGCACCACAGATTGAATGAGAAGCCTAGCTTAACACCTTGAAATTGGCCCCATTTCCCTCCCTCCCTCCACCAACAGTACAGCACACACTCAGGCAGGTCAACTGCTTCTCTGCCCGCTCTAGTCTGTGCTGGTCATCCTGCCAGATCATTGTTGTTGTTACGTGCTGTCCAGTTAGTTCTGACACACAGCTTAGATCACACATACTCAACAACACAACTGAAAAACGGAAGGCAAGGTTTAGACAAATCACCAGTTTGTTTAAAAACAAGTACTTTGGTTCTGCTGGTAATAAATCAGATCTTTGTGCTTAATAAATTAATGTGGCTTACACTAATTGATTTCAAAGTGGTGTGGAAACAAAAGCACTTTGTGTACACATTATAGATTTTACGTGTTTGTGAGCAAAGACCAACAGTGGAGAAGCAAACCAAGGACCACCACGACGAACCCTTGGTAGCTTCCAGGGTATTAGCAGAGCAACCCTGTGAATGCAGCCGATCTCTTCCCAGTAATTCTTTCTCAGCTGTCAATGAGAAGGCTGGGTCTAAGAATCCTTTTCAACTCTAAAAGGAATCCTAAACGACCTGCATTTAGCATGGGATGAGTAAATGAAATTAAAAATCTACTTTTACTCTGGAAAGAAACTCTGTCAAAGTGTTGTGGATTGAATTGTGTCCCTCAAAGACATGTATCAACATTCTCACACTCTGTGCCTGTGGATGTGATGCTGTTCGGAAATACGCTTCTCTTTTGTTATGCTAGTGGGGTGCCACCACAATAGGGTGGGTCCTAAAACTAACCCCTCTGTTGTTGTAATCACCGTGACCTTGTATAGGGTTTCTGAAGCAGGCGCAGCTGGTGAATTTGAAATGCTGGCCTCACAGCTCAAACCAACCTATAGTCCCACACCAGGACTCCCTTCTGAGTGATACCTTTTAAAAGAAGAATACAGACACAGAAAGATGCACACCCTGTTCAAATGGTGACAGATTTGTCTACAAGTGCCTGAATGTTGGCAGCAACTGCAAGTTGAAAGAGATAAAGAAGCACTTTCCTCAAGAGTCCACATGGAGAATTTGTAGCACAGTGGTTACGAGTCAGGCTGCTCATCTCAAGGTCAGCAGTTTGAAACTACCAGCTGTTCTGTGGGAGAAAAATGAGCCTTACTGCACCTGTAAAGATGTACAGCCTTGGAAACCCCATACAGGTCGCTATGAGTAGGAACCAACTCCACAGCACACCACCACCACGGAAGCCTCCTTTACTTTGAAAAAGCCAACATCTGTTTTTAAAAGCTGCCCATTTTCAACTGTTTCCTAACAACACCCAAATATAAGGGATGCAGTGTACTTACAGTTACGAATGTTCTTCCAGTCAATTTTAGCGAAGAAAGAATGACAGCAAAGGCCCTCAAAGTTCAGTCTCTCTTTCTGTCCACACAACAAACTTTGAAACAGATCAAGACATTCATTGCTCACTTTGGGGTCATCTGGAAACTTCAAAAACCTCTGTATAAAAAATAAAATAATTATTTCCTTAGCAATGATTCAGCTTTTCATATCTCAAAGTTAAGAAAGCTTTTTTTTTTTAATGGAAGGAAGTGTTGTACCATGTTAACTTTGGACCAAAAGCATTTTCCCAAAATAGATGGTTACTCACAGCAATAGGCCTAGTTCCTTCCCAGGAGTTCAATAGCCTTTGCAACCCATGTTCTTCTCTCCTGTCTCATCTCACCACACTCCCCATCCTGACAACCATGAGCTATTTCTAACACCTTTAACAGATCATGCTGTTCTCTGTCCACACCCAGCTTCTTCCCCATCACTCCTTCCCACTGCTCCCCTGAACTCTGCATTTTCTCATCACACAGTACTGTGATGTATTCAGGATAAAGGGGAAAGTAGGTGGAGAGGACCCTCTCCTTCTTGCTCATCACTAACCTGGGACCTAACAATACCTGGCACACACTAGGTGCTAAAATATACATTTTAGAAATATAGTTTTTGTTGCTGTTGAAAATCTACGCAAAAGAATATATACCAATCCAACAGTCTCCACATGTACAACTACAGGACGATGACTACATTCTTGAATTGTAAGACCATTCTCATCCTCCTTTCCTAAAATGCTCCTCCCCCATTAACATAAACTCACTGCCCTCTAAGTTTCCTGTCTTAACATTTCCAGAGCTCTTTGATAATAATGATATTGTTAGATAATTCCCACATTCTGTTAGATCACTTTTTTCTGGAATGGACACAAATATGGATTTCTTCTAGTCTGTTGGCCAGGTAGCTAACTTCCAAATTTCTTGACATAGACTAGTGGGTACTTCCAGCACTTTATAAGTTTGTTGAAACATTTCAGTTAGTATTCCTTCAATTCCTGGAGCTCTATTATTCTTTCACCAATGCCTTCAGCGCAGCTTGGACTTCTGTCAATATCATCAGTTCTTGTCAGAAACTATCTCTTGAAATGGCTGGATAGCAACCAATTCTTTTTGGTACAGTGTCTACGTGTATTTTTTCCAACTTCTTTGGATGCTTTCAGTATAGTTCAATATTTTACCCACAAAATCCTTCAATATTGGAACTGAGTGCTTGAATTTTTTTTCACCAGTTCTTTAAGCTTGGGAAATGTCGAGTGTGTTCTTTCCTTTTGGTTTTCTAACTCCAGGTCTTTGCACATTTCATTATAACATTTGACTTTGTCTTCTCAAGCCACCCTTTAAAAAGACTCGATTTTGTTCTTTCATTTCATCATTTCTTGCATTTCCTTTAGCTATTCTATATGCCAGAGCAAATTTCATTTTATTCTGACATTGATTTTAGTCTTTTCTTTCTTTTGTGTCCTTTTAATGAGTTTTTGCTTTCTTCATGTATGATATACTTTATGTCATCCCACAAATTAGTAAGGTCTTCAGTCATTAGTGTTCAATGCATCAAATCTATTCATTTTTCTTGTTAGAAATTTTTTATTGTGAACTGACTGTAAGTTTACAGAGAAGATCATCAGTTTCATATTTAACATATCATACACCCCACTTCATCTCAGTGACTGCAATCCCCACCATGTAACAACAGTTCCCCATTTTCTCCCTGTGGTTCCTAGTTCTACCACTCTCCTTCCCAACCCTTCTGAATTTTGTCCTGAGGTAAATGCTGCTCTTTGCATTAGATCTATTCTTGAGATGATCTCTAAATTCAGGTGGGATATATTCAAGGTCATACTCTGGCTCTCTTGGACTTGTTTGAATTTTCTTCAGTTTGAA